GGAATTGTTTGTTCACTGCAATGGTCGTAAATTCTAGCGCGATTGCGCCTGGGAAAATCGATATTGCTGGACTGTCGTAGACTCCTATGCATGTTAGCCTTATGTCGAGTTTTCTTCAGGACCAGACGGACCTAAGAAGAGGACAGAGGGGGAGAGTATCAGCACCGTGTCGGCAGAAATCTTGTTGGGTTGTTGGCGTGAAAAAAAAAAGGTTGGACGGCAACTTACCTCCTCATTGAGAAAGCAGTAAATCAGAGCTACCCAGAAACCCTAAATTAGAGTGGGAGAAAAAAGTAGATCAGTTTGAGAAGAAGGGTATTGGGGAGATTAATTTTCAACGCATAATCGACCGCGCGGTTCATGGCACGCCATCACTTTCACGGTGGTCCGGGATACTTTTGAGATTAGACTACAGTCCAGCTATGAAATTTTACTCTGTGCTGGTTGCATTCATTTAATCAATTTGTACATAGACAGGTCTGGCCTTAAGTCATGAAAAACGCTGAATATAACCACGAAACATCTGCAGCTGTCTATAGGATTTCATACAGTTGCGGACAAAGCAACTACGTCGGAGAAACTGGAAGACATCTCAAGACGCGAATTGCCGAACACGTGGCAGCACTGTAGAGAGATGATCCCAATTCTCAAGTTGCGCCTTATTCTACGAGACTCCGTCACACATTCTGACCTGATCAGACAGAAATTCTCGCGAGAGGGTGACAATAATGTGAGTCACGAGTTACTTTAGTGACGGTTCACGGGCCCCCAGTCTATAAACAAGTGCAATGACCTACCTCAGTCTATATTCAGTGCTGCGGCGCAATTTGGCCAAAGCAAGTAACCACTTGGGGGACGCACGGGCCACCACCGGGAAACCAGATGGCCAAGCACTCATCACGTCCAATTCCATCACGTGTGGTGAAGGCTCAGCAGGCCACGTCCCGCACACCGGCCACCAAGCAATTAGCGTACAAGGGGACAATTATCTTGGATAGGGGAGAAGTTAATTGTCACAGGTGTGCAGTGGCATCGTGAGTGCATTCTATAAATACTGCCACTCCTTGTGCATGATTTACTCTTTTCTGTTAATGTCCCTGATGATGTATCCGCGACGGATTCCGAAACGTCAGTCAAATAAAATTCTTGTCCCAGCGATCACATCTACTTCTTCTCGACCTCAGTAAACCTACGATCTAAGAAGAATGTCACCAGTGGTTGCACTTTCGAGGCACATAAACAGAAGAACTCGGGAAGAAGGGGAGTCGATCGTTAGAACAGAACTGTTATCTGCTTGCCATTTCGGATTCTCATTCGAAAACCTCATCAGATGAGGGCGATGGATGCACAAGAGAGGAAGATATTATGCTGCCAAATACGTATGAGACGTGGTTTGGCCACAGAAATCAGCCACTCGGGGAGTGCGCATTCGAACACATTTTTCCACGCCAGTTTCGATGAGTCAGGTGACCGAGCAGTCATCACGCCGACCTCTCCCAACACGAGTGATGAAAATTCAACATATAAAGACTCGCATACTGGTCGTCCACCATTGAGCGCATCAAAGGACAGGCCTTCTCGGTGAAGGGGAGAGAGCTGGTAATTTCTATAGGTATGCATCCTATATCTGTACGAATTACACCTACCTGATGCTGTCTCCGAAGATGGGTTCGAGCCGGAATCAGAAATGCCAAGCGAATAAAGTTCGGGTCCCAGTGGAACCTCGGTCAAGGAGTTTAATCTGTTCCGGCACCAAGCTTGTCATATGTAACACTCGTCTTGCAAAACGTAGCCAATCAAGCTGCATCACGTCAGTTATCGGTTACAAGCGACCGAGACGACCCACACCCCGGGAGCAAGACTCAACGGCGGACGAAGGCATACACATGTGCACTGAAAACTCGGTAACTGAGTGGAAGCTCGTCAATCAAAACCAGTTTTCTGCGAGTGACACACTCATTACTGGAAGTCCTCGTAAATGGAGCTGCTCGCCACCAGAGGCTTCACGGCGCTTCCTATCACATACACCCCCTCTTTAATTCTTCTACTATTGCCCCCAGGGCTAATTCACGTCATACAGCGACAGGAAGCACATGAAAAGCCGAAGTCTTTCAAGATGCCCGTTGGTTTCCTTTAGCGCTCAACTCTTACACATGAGCTACCAAATAAAGGTGTAAATGCTTATTATATAGGCGATTTAGCTGCGAGATAAACGCGTGTGAAATGGCACTAAAATGTGTTCCCTATGAGGGACTTTTTTTATTTCACAGAGAGACATACCTGAGTAGATATGAGAACGGCGTTGATGTAGTTGAAGACCTCCCTGACTGATGGGTGGTAGGGCACCACAAAGACGACTTGTGGAATTCCCAGCAGCGGAATCAACATAAGACAGGCTTTAAGGGATTTCCTACAAAAGAGGGAGAAACATAAACGCCAGCTTATCAGATTGCAACCGGGCTTCGTTTAATGCCCACAAACTGATCCTCACCGAAAATTGATGACGATGCCATGGATAATACCCTAACGTACTTACACAGCAGCAATCGCAAGAAAGCGAAAAATAACATTAAGAATAATGCGCTGGAACATGATGAGTGTTGCCGTCAGACCACAGCAAAGGCGAATGCAGGACCGTGCTTTTCATGTGAGTTAGTTAATTATGATAATAGATTTGTGCGGCGTCTAACACATTCTCACCTCCTCCTCCTCCCGTGCCTGATTTCGGTGTGCTGACCAGGTCAAGAAAACCGGAGGTGGGAGAGGATGCAGGTGGTTGGCGCGACCTGAGCCTACACTGGGACATGAAACAACATCCCCATATGTAACATTTCTAAGGGTTTGGCTACAGTGACCCAACCCCGAGTGCAAGCGCACTCGCGGCTGCTAACAAGTGCGCAAGCCCCACTGACTCTCTACTTACTTCAGTCAGGCCAATCATCTCCCTGTGGCTGACTCCCACATGACCGTACTGTACACGGTGTGATGACTCCCACCCTGTACCACCTCGGCCTTCTCGCGGGTGTTTGTGCACTCGTCAGGGAGTCAACTTCCTCCGACCTTTTCGCCCCTACCTCTGTACAGAAAACACACTATTCCTCCCATTTGGCGTCCCCGATCGTCTACGGAACCGGGCTAAAAGATAGCAGCGGTAAGGACCCTGCCTTATTGACTTAACCCACTGCGATAGGGCACCCCCCCATAACGCCCGTCATGTCCTGATCTTCACTTCGTGTTTACCCGGTGCATCTACCACGTGGTCTGGCGTAGGAACGAGGAGACAACCGAGCACTGCGCCCAGTTTTATACCTTACCAAAATCCCTGAGGGATGGCATCAATCTTAAGATCTTCGGGTCCGCTTATTTGGTTTTGAGTCCAGCTGCTTACTTGCCAAATGCTAAGGGGCAGCGTTGGCTTTTAACTTTCTGCGCCACCGCGGACATCCCGACGACCGAAAGTTCTAACTACTATACTACTTGTTATGTTCTAGTAACATTTGTTTATATAATATTTTATAAACACAACTGTATTTAAAATACCACCTGAACAATAACATTACGGCGCCCGTAAAATTATGAATAGTTTACTACGCACAATCCATCGCTTATGCCTCCTCATAATCATACTCAGACGATGGTATTCGTGGTATTCCCTATTTGATCTCGGAAGAACTGCGACGATCCCGTCAGCACTCACATCTACCGCACTTTGAGTTCTTGACGATCGTGGCGGCTGCTTCTGTTTTCGCAGCCTTTTCGGCGAACTTTGAAATCAGCAAGGGAGTATATGGCCGTATCTTCCATACTTCAGTGATGACCCCGTGACCTCTGCGCTCCCCTCCCCGTTTCGACCTATCATACTACTCTCACCTCCCCCCATGAGTGAGCACTTTTTTCTCCTAAAAAATCCTAAGGAGTGCTTTTGCGACGTCTTCTCCTTTTTACCATGTTCCGCTTTATTGGCTCATGTCAGTTGTCATATCACCCATAGGTTAAGATACTATTTTGTTCGATATCGCAACACGCATATACACGACCACATTTCCCTCAATAAACCTAACTGAACACATCCACTGGTGATAAAGACGAACAGGCAAGTTCCAGGAAGTAGTTCAGAGGGCGAGAAGCTGCGAACGTTGGAACAAGGAGTTTAGACGCCCGAAGTTTCGAATTCTCGCTCAAACTCCCCCCGCAATCAGCAGTAAGGACACATTACATCGACAATGGTTTATTTCCTGTGATTCGTCTGTGTTTGTGAATCCTTCCCCTACCAGCTCAAATGGAAGGGCACTTGAGTTTAAAATAGTTGAGGACTATCTGGCCCGGGTCTATGTCTGAAGCGCGTGGTCTGTGGGTTGGAACTCAATTGGCAGAGAAAGCCAGAAACCACCATTACAGTCTTCTCCAGTACAGTAAAACCTCTACTAAGCAGAATACACGATCAGAGGTCGTTAACAATCAGCTGAAGCGAAAGACTGGACAGGGGATGGCGGGAGGCGGAGATGATAAGCTGCCGCGAAATTTGCTGATATCAATAAATCCTGCTGTTTTTGCCTGCTTTCAATTTGTACCGGGGAAAAATGCTTCAAAATACCTAAAATAGCAATTAACCAATAAAGGAGGGAAAAATGCAAGCCTGGACTTGACGGCAGGGCGACGATTTTCTGTTAGCCTAAGGACAACGCGGCGGATAATGGGACAGCCAACATCTAAGAGTGGGTGCGAAACAGACAGCATTTGAACAGTGCAGCCCAGCAGCAAAGCACTGCTCCGTAACCTATGCA